TTCGACACGTGCTCGAGGTGCGCGCGGGACGGGAGGAGGCCGATCGTCAGGCCGGGTTTTAACGGAGCTGCGGGCCAGCTCCACTCCACCCAAGGCCGTCACAGAGCCCGTGCTACAGCTCCTCTCCAACCCTTCAGCTGCCATCCCAACAACCTCCTTACTCCTGGCCCTCCCTGTTTTGATCTGCTCAAACCCTTCGGTAAGCACCCCTGAAGAAGATGGGCTCCCCCTGTTGCTGTGAGACCCTGCAGCTGTAAACGCTGAGAGAACGGCGCAGCCACTGTCACTGACCCACCTCCAATGCCAGTCTGTATACGCATAAGGTTTTGTATGCACAAACAATAGTATAGTACATGACCATCTGCACCCATTCGCTATGAGAAGCAGGTTTGCAGCTACTGCCTCCCATGATTACCAGGTATCTTGAGTCCAGTTCTACAGGAGGAGGAGGGAAAGAACTGTAAGTAACGCAAAGTGGCCCAGAGTAAGGGTCAGGTAACTGGGGTGGGAGGGAGAGAGAGAAAAAGAGAGACACATTGTATATTTTTATAGTTCAAGAAAAACAAGCAAACAAACACTCTGAACAAGCCCTTTTTCAGTGTTACAGAGAGAGACTGCAAGGCCAGCAAATTCTACCTCAAGTCCAAAGACAAGTCTTCTGGGCTACCTGTTGATGATGATGGAGAATGCATCAGTGTAATGCTGCGTGCCATAAACACGGTAAGCCTGTATTACTGCTTTTTGATGCTCTCACAATTACAGCTCAAAAATAAAATCAAACAGGATTACACATTCACGATGGAATTCTCACTTTGTTTATTGCCACTGATTATTGAAGAAAACAGTGAATACATCAGCTACATGTATTTTTGCTGTGAGGCATCAGAAGACTTCACACAGTACCTAGTTAACTTCTAGTCACCTTACATACCACTGCATGCATTACGGCTGGAGAACATTCCCAGAAAATACTAAACTCCCATAGGAAACAAAGAAGAAAATAAACAGGATAAGCAAAGAGTATCAGTCTACAATCTCCATTAGTAAGATTGATCAACACTAAATATATAAGAAGTAAAAAAGTAGTTGTTACATAGGTTTAAGTCAGATAAAAAAAGGAATAGTATTACATCCATCTTTGTTTTATGATTCAAGTCAGGTTACATAGTCTGACAATACAGATGCAAACTCCTCTCTGCCCCCATAAAGGCAGATACAGGACCAATCATTAACCAATCAATAAGTGTTATATAATTAGCAGTAGTCAATTTGACTCTGTATAAAATAGTCTTGCCTTTTCAAGCTTGCACTTCTGTAATACATTTGCCTTATTCTCCTACAAGGTAATTGGATACACTAGCAGCAATACATGCTGATGCTATATAATATGTCAAAGTTAGTATTTTACTACTTAAAACTACTTAAGTTAACCAACAGAATCCCTGTCCCAAATACAACTAGTAATGCAAACTTGATGGGACCTCTTGTCCAAAATAGTCATTATCTTTCAAAATTATTTAAGAGGAGCTGTAAAATCAGAGCTGACAGGTTTCCATATAAAAAAAGGGCAGATTGACTCTATAGGAGCAGTAGAAATGCATTAATTAATCAGACCCGTCTTCTGCGTAATGGTAAGTTGAATAAAATATAGAACACTGCAACCAGTAGTACTACAGCATATCTAGGAACAAAGAACACAGGTCACATACAACAGCAGAATGGTCACATTAGCATATGACTACATTGAAAGGTTTTAGAAGTAAAGACATGGAAACAGCTTAGCATGAGCTTCAGCACTGTGACCGTGGCTTCAGTTCATCTTGTCAAATGCTAGTCAGCAGAGCAGCACAATGATCCCACCTAAGCACCTGCCAAAAGACTCAGAGATATTAGTAACGCAAAGCAGTATAAAGGGATGAGCATTTTAATCTAGAGTTAACTGCACTGTGCCACAAACTCAGGTATCCTCTTCCACAAGCTAACAGCAGCAACCAAGTAAACATCACCCTGCAGCATAAAAGCACCTAAACACCTTACATTTATTTTAGTCCATAAGCCTGAATGATAAGCAATAGTGTGTCCAATAGGCTGACCCAATGCTAGGAATTTCGTTTCCCTTCTCCCTACGCAAGCAAGTTAAGATTAGTTTCTTTAAAAGCTCAAAATAATATTTTGAAAGTCTAGATGCCTCAAACATTTCCACCTGGTGTCAAAATGACCTGTAATGTTTAGCAATGCTGCAAAGAAAACAACTGGCCCAGCAGACTTCAGGTTCTCCATTACTGGAGGTTTGTGACAGCAGCCAACAGACACATGAATAATGTTTTAAAAATTCCACTTCAACACCAGAAAGGTGTCCTCCAAAGACATATGCCCCATTTCCTTTCCCATCTGTCCCAGTTATTGCAGAGCTTGTCTGATTTTGAACTTGAAATCCTACAGAAAATTGTTAGTTATGTCTGGCTTATGTGTTACATTCTTCTATAGTCACATAAAAGTGTAGTATTTCAATAGCAGCAGAGATAATGACTTCGCATTCTGTAACTATGTGCCAAGGTGCAACTTCAGCACTGGAATTTGAGACATTCCTGCCTTTCATGTTTCTCACTAGTCTTAGGTGTTCGTGATATATTTTTAACAAAAAAATATTGGAGCAGTTAACTGTACAACTAAGCACATGGCCAGTCTTTTTTTTTTGCCCAATTTACAGGTTCCAAAAAGCCTGCCTCAACATGTTGACTGGCTAGAGGGGAGTCACAATACATTGTTTTGTGTAGCCAATATTAGAAGTTTTTTCTACTTTCATCTACTCGGTGGGGGTTGGAAATAGACTTTTAGGTGCTTTTATCCCCACCCATCCCCTTTCAAATATATATTTGAAAAGAGAGACATAAGCACTGTAAGAATAATCTTATAATGATTCTCTATGATTCTATGATAATTCTGACACTTAATTTAAGTGCTCTAAGAATAATGCTCTCCTAATATAATTCTTCTAGCCTCACAATATATATGAAACAAACTGGTATCACACTGAAGTTTCAGAACTATTTAAGTTTTCTTAATTGTGCAACGCCAGTACAAATCACTGCGGTGGCCAAATCTGATCTGTGGTTATTTATGAAGTACCTGCTGCTAAACACAGATGCTGTAGATTATATACTCAAGCAATTTATGCTGGCAGTTTGTATTAGCAAAACATTAATTTGAGCATTCCAAGATGCTCTACAGACATAATTACTCAAACTGCATTAAAAAATAATTTTAAAAACCCATACACATTACTTAATGAGACAATTTGCAACAACTACACAAAAGTAATGGTTTTACTTCCAAGTCTTTTGACTTAGATAGCAAAAAAAGTTACGTTATTTCCTCCAAGAACTGCCCAGTTTTTAGATATTAAACAGTTAGTGATGTTTGCCCCGAGTATGTCTGTGTAGACGGTGTTAAAACACAGCAGCATCAGAACTCTGATCGTCTTTTGCAGAAGTACAACAAACAAGCTAAGGCAGCTTGCTCAGTTTGAAATATCCAGACTCTTCTAACAGTGGTCACAGCCTAAGGGCTACTAAAATTATTAGAAAAAAACCTAATAGCTTGATCACCACAGGCATTATCAAATCAAAGCACATAGCCTTTTAAGAAAGCCTAATATTGTTTTGTAAGACTTTCCAGAAACTCCAAAGAACCAGCATTAATTCTGATTGAGAGCCACCATCTTCAAACCAAGCCACAAGAAATGAAACATTCTGCCTTTATATTCAGAACTTTCTGCTCCTTGGAGGTTAAACAGAAACCTGTGATTTATCATCTGATAGTTTTTTACTAAATTACAAAGCAAAAGACAGTATCTCTTCTGAGGGGTCTGACTGCCACACCACCTTCTCCACAGGTTCTTCTAGTATCGCAGCCCATTTGGTTAAACACAGTAAATGTTTAAATCAGCTTTGGGGCAGGGGGGAGGGGGAGAAGGGATGGAGAGAGACAGACCAAAATGAGATCTTACAGGATTTAATCTTCACTAATTCTGTGCTGCTGCCACGGACTTGCTTTAAACATCAGTAATGTATGCTTTTTGCAATAACATAGAAAGAAAGAATATCCACTTTGTATGTTCTGAAGAAGCTATGAAAACATCTCCCTTGTTTACAAACCTAGACAAGCAATTATTCACTCCGATCCTTTGGCTCTCGATATTTCCACTGGATATAGTCAAAGATGTCTTTTTCACATTCTACTGGTAGGGCCTCCCCAGCAACTCCTGCAAGCAAATTAACGGATGTTATTTGAAAGGTGGTAGGTCTGTATCATCCAGAAATGTCAAATGCATTGCAAGATTAAGACAAAACTGCTGTAAGTAAAACAGACTTAAGGAAACAAAACACCCCCCCCCCACACACCTTTTCATACAGTGTTTAGGTACCGATTCTCATTAGTGTCAAAAGAAATAGGGTAATGAATTAACTTTGGGGCCAGGTGGTTATGCCATTAAATATAAATGCGTTTATATTCATATGTGTGTGTGTATATATATATACACACATACATACATATATATACAGTCAGCCTCCCTCCAAAACAAAACAACTGAAGGACATGACTTATCTTGTTAAAAGAGTGGGAAACCACATGTGGGCTGTGCATGACAATGAAAAAACAACCTTTAGGTCAATAAGACCACCACTAGATTAGGTGGCCCAAAGAGGTAACTTTGTGCCACAGCAGTGCCTATACATAAATAGGGGGCCTCTTCCTGCTATAATGATGTCCAGTACCAAGAAGGACACTGTGAAAAATTTAATGAACTACAGTATTTATCAGAAGTATTTCCAGTACACTGAGAAACCAACTTAAGGAGAAGATCACACAAAGCATCTAACTAGAAAGAACACTCTGTGCAAAGGTCCAGACTGACCAGTGACACCCAAGGGACGGATTGTGTACTCATTGATCGTGAAGCCCATTTCCAGAGCATGAGTTCTCATGTTCTTATTGAATATATCACTTCCTGTGAAATACAGTACACCACAGTAATACTGATCTTTGGGGATAAGCCTAGAATAAAAGTGGAAGAAAAGTACAGATTTAGAACAAATACATAACAGAAAAGTTACAAGCCATTTAGAATTCAGCCATTCAGACACTATTTGAGGTTTACTTCCTATTTATGCACATGCATTCTGCAACTCTCTACATTTCATTTTCCCACAAGCCAGATGCGAGAATTAAATGAATTGTATATCAAAGAAAGGTTCAGCACATATACCCTGGCCCAGAAGTTACTGGTGTTCAACCACTACATGGTTATAGTGCTTGCACTCCTGCAAAGAATTAATGTCAACGCAGTATGATAAAGTAGGTCACAATCCTGAAACGCGATACAAACTCATGAATTGAAATACAGCTTTCTTGCTAATAATGTGTTGTTGGTACTGGTAGTTGTACAGTGGCTTCCATACTGCAAAGGAATTAGAAACCTAGTAAATGCCATTTTCTGAATGTGGAAGTAGAGATTTGAATGCAGAACTTGATGCAAATGCCTACTATGTAGCAGGTAGGTGTAGGGGTGTGTGGGGTGTGTGTGCGTGTGCCTGTGCCTACACACCGGATATCAATTCTTCTATGTGGATAGGCTGTTCCATCTTCTTTATTTGGCAATTGACATTTTTAGGGAAAGCAAGATATTCAGAATTAACTTAAAACAGATTTGAGATCAATCTTCACCTCCCCACCCCTAAACAACGTCTAAACAATCCTTGGTCATCTGGGAGAGCAAAGTTAAATTCCCACTCAACCGATTAAATACCGTGTATAACTATTTTACACAGCTAAGAGAGCTGTCCTTCAATGTAGCATATAACTGCTTCTTAAGTTTTTATTACAGCAGGAAGGATCACAGGCCTTCTAACTTCCCATTCCTCTACCCTAATTATTATCAGGCTCTTCAGTATGCACAAACATCAGCAGGTTAAGGAAAATGTAGGCAAAGCTCAAGCTAATAGAAATGAAAAAAAAAAAATGTTTCTTTCTTGCTAAATCCTCTGCCACTTTTCATTTCAAACTGCTTTGTAATTTTATTGCAATTCACATATCAGCCTTTTCTTTTATACCCTAGTCTATGATCACCTTAAATGACAATGCAGTAGCAGGGAGGGACAATCAGAAATGTTTACATACTAAACCGTTTCACCACCTGAAGCTTCATGCTGCGACTTATTCTATTCTAACTTTGTTTTGAAAGCTTAACACTTTGAAAGCTAACACACGCTTTTAAAGTTACGTTGTCTGTCTCCTGACTTTCTTTTCTCAGATTCTCACCTGCAGCTGTTATTTCCCTTTTTACAACATTGCTTTCTTAGCTTCTACTTTGAAGACAAGAGCTATTCCACAACTATTTAGAGACGACAGGATTATACAGAGCAAACGGTCAAACTATAATGAACTTGGTCGAACTGCGAATGCAAAGTGGGATGCAGAGTATCTCTGCTTTTGGCTCACAGATGTACATTTAGCTTTAATCCCATAAGGTATTCACATTTAAACCATTTGGTATGAATGAGAGTGACTTTCACTTATTCCTCCTAAAGATCAAGCAAAAAAAATAGGCCATCAAGTTTCATTCCCTCTCAGAATGCAACACTTAGCTGAAGACAAATTCTCAGAGTTTTTAGCTCCCATTTTAAGTAAAACCAAACCGACAAACAAAAAAATAAACAAGTGCTCCAACAGACCCTTTCCTCTTGTGAAAGCAAGTGTCTCTAACTATAGTATTATATATTTAAGTATTTATGCCTTCCAAAAGATTAGCTGAATATAATGGTATCTTGATTCTTGAATAGAAATCCGTAAGTCATGGACCTTTCCTCCTGCAGGACCACTCCTCTGAGCTTCCCAGGAATTCCATGAAGCCAGTGTGAGTGACTGACAGGAACTAACCAGTCCTCATTTCCACTCAGTATTGCTTACAGTTCTACACTTCTGTTAGAATTAACTTTTAACCAGTCTGTAAGACCAGGATATCCAAGGCCTGTAAAGAAAACTAAGTGAAGCAAGGTAACACCCAGTCCACATGTTTAAGAAAAAAAAGTTTTGCTGTGAGCAAGGGGCCTAACAAAAATCAATTACTTTCTTTAGGCATCCCACATATTCCCTATCATATCCCGAGTCCAACAGCTTATCCATTAAATCTGCTCTGCAACAAAACTGACAAAAAAAGGAGTCAAAAGTGTATCATGTATTAGACGAAACAAGGTACAACATAGGCCCGAGATCAAAGATAGTGTTTCCAAGACCTTGAGTTACAAAAGCGGTCATTGGTGCAACTGAAGAAGTGAGGTTGTATAAAGGTTCTGGGGAAACATCAAGCAAAACAGCGACACAGTTGGCATTGTGCGATGAAGGTTATGTCAGTGGGGTTCAGAACTACATAAATACTTGCAGATTTTCTAATACTGAAATCTTACCGTGAGAGATTCACTAAGAGTTAACTGCAGAGAGTTTTTACGGGGTAAAGGGGTAAATTAAAAAAAACCCAACAATTACAACTCCAGCAGCCCAAACAACATATCTTGTATATATCCTAGCTTCCATCAGGTAAGGTAATCTCCCCCTGCAACATCCCTCACCACCAAAAAAGCCTTACCATGAATTTGGTGTCACCTTTAGACAGCGTATCTGTGACAAAGCGGACTTTTTCCAGTTGTTCTACAACTTGATGCAGAAGTTTTGACTAGGAACAGTGACAACACAGAAGAAGAAATTATTTCACAAATAACAAGAATATCTTACCCATTTACCAGACAACGGCCCACATAAGTACAGGACATCACTATAATTATATGTATTATTGTACCTTAAATTAGACCCGCAGGGGATAAAAAAATAACAATAATACTGAGAAAAAGCTAATAAAACTACAGTTGTGCAATGTAAAAAAAAATTCCACCAAAATCCCCATGTCAGTTAGTTGGAAGTGACAAAACTCATTTCTTGGTTTCCGTTTTCAACTTTTAAGCAATGAATCCATAGAAGCAACACAAGAAATAAAAACAGTCATTAAGACTTCTCCAGAGTTAGTCCCAACAGATTACAAGGGCAGCCGGACATTTGCTTCTCATCCAAAAGAATATGGCTACATGAAGAGATACTTACTCTGCCTTTAACCTCTGCTTTATCCAGTTAGCTGTTACAGTTCTATGTCGTAAAAGAACAAGAATTTGAGGGAGTGGGGTGAGCGTGTGAAAGGAAGAGGAGGGAGAGAAGGATAGGCACAGACACAGCTAACAGGTCTGCAAGAGGAACATAACGCAATACATGGATCTGGAATTGAGTTTACTATTACAGTAACAAAAAGATCCAAGAAGCTGTAATACAGGTCTGTGATTACGTATTATCTGAATTTAAACATACCCTTATGGAAGTAATACACAGTACTGATCCACAGAGAAACACACCTGTTTGGACGATTCAGATGTGAAACTTGGATGGGTTAGGAGAACATCCATATCGCCGCTTGACTCTGCACCTAGGCAAGTAAGAAGCAAAGAAAAATTCCTCTGCATATGACGAAGTACACAAACATTGGTGAACAGGCATCTAACCTCTTCCTATAAACATGTTTTTCTGGTATAAAACATTCAGTCACTATTCAATATACTTGGAAAAAAAGCAATATTAAAGTAAGAGAATCTTGTTCTTCCATCAAAAAGTTTATATCCTTGCATATCTCAGAAAATAGCCAAGAATTTCTTGCTGTATTCTGTAGCAATGAAGCACAAATGTTAATGTAAAAACAACACTCACATGCTACAATATACTACTCTTTATGGGGGGCGGATTGTAGAAGCAAGGATTTATGCAGCTGTTTTGTCACTGAACTAACCAGTCAAGACAATACTAAAGGAAAAAGACACGTTCCAGCATAGATGTTCTAGAAGAACAACATATATAGAAATTAGTCTTGCTTGTTAGCTCAAAACAAATGTAACAAGATCACAGAGTACCAACCTCGTCTAAAACTGCCACAGACAGTAGCAATATAGTTTGGGTCCAGATTGTTCACCTCTTTCAGCACAATTTCCTATGTAAAAAAGGAATGATGTGTGTTTAGAGGTGTCAGTCATTCACTGGCCATCGGTGCCTCACATCCTCGATAAAGACATTCTTACCTGCATTTGCAGCATTTCTTCCCTTGGGATTCTTTTCTCAAAATCTTCAAAGTATCTGCATAGATAAAAACAAAAGTGTCAGAAAGAGTTGCAAAGGTAGCATCTTAAAATTTTAGTCACTTAAATATATACCAGATGAAAGAATACAACTTATATGACTGTCACATCACAAAAAGCTCCCCATTCTCACCAAACACCTTAGAAAACATCTTCCCAAGTGATAGTAAAAACTCACAACTTCAAGTTTGACAATGCTTAGAAGATGGTTTAATTGCATATTATTTCCACTGCATATGACAAGCTGCTATGAGGTGAGAGTAATATTACTGTATAAGCAATTGATTTATGTTTACGTAGCCCTCTGAAAATACAAAAGGTTCCTGACAAAACTCAGTCCACCAGCAAGCAGGAGGAACTGGTCCCTAATCTACAGTCAGAGGTGATCTATGTTGGAAAGAGCTAAATGGAAGCTCACAAGTCAAATACAGCTCCAGATTATCTTTGCATGCAGACATAAAAAACAGACTGCCAGCATGCTGCTTGACTGTGGAGAAAAAGAGGCCAGGTGAAACAAGGATACACCTGACCAGCAGGGACATTCTTTGCCCCTCCAGCACCAGAACTGTTAACAGCCCACATGTTCGCCAACGCTCATTACCCAACCATCCCAATTCCAAGCTCTGCAGACAGAGCTTCTGGATATGGAACTCGCCGCCCACCCCCTGCTCTCACCCCCTCTCCAAGAGCTGCAGTGGAACTAGGGACAAAAAGACTACCATCAAGTGCTGAAACCATTCTTTCATCTTAACACTTACTGGAGGTTCTGAGACAACATCTGAGCACAACGCTGGAAGCACACCCAAGGGCAATGCGTGCACTAGCAACACGGGTAGGTCAGGTGAGTTTTCGTATACTCACTGAACAGTGAAAAGTTTTCCCTTGCGTGCTCAAACGTATAAAGGCAGGGACACACACTGGGTATGGGGCTAGATGAGCAGTGGGAAGGCAACAATCATTGCGTAACCCTTCTCCTTCACTAGCAAGCAGTTTGTCCAGATCACACATTGTGCATCTCTGACACTGATGTGGAAATGCTGGCCCCACAAAGAATGAATTCAGATATAGGATTTTATTTGGTTCACTTGCAGTTTCTTGCAAACACAGCTATAGTTCTTCCAGAACTAGCACACTGGAACAGCCACTCAGCAAGCAGCACTCAAGCTGGCAAGTACTGAGGGGCAGACGCACATTCTATGTGGCATTCTCAAGTTCAGATGTGCAAAGGTGTTGCCTTGCTCACAGCACATAACAAAAAATAGCCTGGGCCACTTTTACGCAGATTCCCACGAAACATCATTGCAACCTTACTAAAGTGATTCTCCATGAGCTAACTGAAAAAGTAATTTGAAATTAATTTCCTTCTGGATGGAGACTAAGCCTACTGAATTTCAACCCCAATGAAATGCAAGCTCTGAATAACTGCTGAAAAGCATGTGGAGCACACATAGAGAATAGACCCTTACTTGGCCTGTGTAACCTTACATTACATCCTGGTCTGAATGAATAATTAGGAAACCCAAGCACTTGCACCCAAGAAAACTTACTTCAACCCAATTTGCTGGTGATGGGTCAGCTTGTGCTCATTTTTTCTTAGATCTAGAAGAATTAAGAAAAACAAAAAAAAAGGTACTTAAGCACTAAAAATCTTACAGTAAGGTTCCACCAATGCAAAGATGAGGTACACAAAGAATACATAACAAGAAAACACCAGCCTCAAACACAAAGGAAGAGATTTTAAACTGACTACTCAACAGCTGATAGGATGAGTAAGAATGCATAGAGCACTTCTTGGTAAAGACTTCAGTACACTATTCACCTCAAAGCCAAAATCCTTGTTGTTTTCCACATAATCTGTAAGTACTTTACTTTGGATATGAGTGTAATGCCTTTAGCCTGTGCACCAACTTCAGCATCTTACACGCTTTCCTCAAAGCCTAGGGCATATCTGCTATCACAGTACCAATGTGGAACAGGCAGCTTGACAAAAAAACCCCATTACTGGAGTGTGAACTGAGGACCCAAAGTTACACTTACCTTCTAAAGTCTTAATTCCTTCCTCGACAAACTTCCTAGCGGCAGCAGGACTAGAAAGAGACAAGACAATCTGCCATTAGGAACAGCAAGAATCTTACAACACTGAAAAGAACATTAGAATTCACTAAACTGCCTGGGTTCTTCAAGGCCAAGACTGAAGCTGCTTCTCATGCTTACCCTGTTTCCAGCATATGCATTGTCAGTGTGTACTTTGAATCAGCAGAGGTGGCTATCCAAGGGTCAGCCTGCACCTTTTTTTAGCACTGATATAACTATGTAGTGAGATATAATTGTAAAATATAAGCCAACAAAATCTCACCAAATAAGCAATACTGCTTTAGACGACAATACTGAATGCATGGTAAGAACCACTTTAACGGCAGTCTCTGAATCAGCTTAGGGCAACATCAACACAAAAGCGTCTTCAGACCAGCACTTCAAAAAAACCCAACAAGGCTTCAGTTTGCAACCTACAGTACAGCAAAGCAGTCCCAGCTCCAGTCTGGCTGAAGAGTTTGCCTTAAGCAAAGTCTGTAATTGGTGCTTCTATATCCTTCTCATGCAATTGTGTCATCACAACTATGTTGTCTCAGTGTGGGCACTACAGCATCAGCTCATTCTCTTCATTATTTGCAATCACCCAAATTCTGTTCACCAAACAGAAAAACAAAACTAAAAACCAAACAAACTTTACCCAATGCCAGTAACTCGTGTCAGGAGGCTGATAGATGCACTTGTATCATCTTGTCGAATCTGCAAAAACAAAACAAGACAGACCAAACCCTTCTTTACTCCCTTTGCAATAAACGAAGAAATCTTGAGAAAACAGCTTAGTCAGACTCTGCTTTGGAGGCTCACTATAAATCAACGCAGAACAGTACCAAGGGTAGCACTGTGTACCACAATAATGCCATACGTACCAAGTCTGAAAATTGCCTGACTACCTGTGCTAAGGTGAACAGCATGGTTAAACCACAAAACCCCACAGCCTTCAGAGTCAGAATGCCACTTCTGACAGAAGACATTCACATGCTAATTTTATAGCCCAAAGTATTTTCATAAATAGACAGTTCTGAGGCTTTGGCCAAGCTTCTTGTTCCTGCTTTCTCCTCACCATAGACTCCATGTCTACTTAAGCTTGACACCAGTGTCTCCAGGGACAACGACAAAAACTGCACAGAGCAAGCAGGCTACTTTTCAAGTTACAAAGAAAAGCAACTATTGAGAAAGAGATCACAAGGGAGCAAAACCCACCTTTTCCAATTTGCGTAGTTTTCCAGTGGATAAGAACTCATCTATCTTCTCAGCTATTTTAGCACCTACTCCATCCTAAATATTGGGTGGGAAGGCAGACAAGTTAACTTCAAGGTCACTTAAGCCATTATATCTATAAAAAAAGGAAAGTTCCCCAGAATTTAGAGTCCAGAAAGAACTATGAGGCTACTGAGACCATAATAAAATACTGGACTATAAGGAAGCAGAAAAATTTAAGGGTGTATATACACGCAAGCAGCAAGAACACTGTGATCCCAGGCCTATACTAAAAGTTCCCCCAAAGCAATAATTTTGAACAAGGCTTTGATTATTACTGCTCATGTTCCCCAAATTTAACGAAGCAGTAACAGAGCAAAGGGGAAACCTGCCACACCAGAATCCTTT